CTTAATGGAAAGCAGAATTGTATGCACACCAAATCCCAATAAGTTATACTTTTACTGAAGATTTTGTTAATTCTTAATTCTAATGTCTTTATATTTTTTATGGTACTTGAGACTATCAAAAATAATTGTGAATTTTTAATTATACTATTTATTGTTATAATTTGCTTTATGCTATAAATGTATTGCTCTCTCTGGTGAGAGCTTAAGTAACACTGCTGTGGGTGCTTTAAAAACAGGTTGTATAGATTAACAGTTCAAGATGTGTTGGGTATCCAACTGAATTTTAGTTATGAGGAGTAGGTTTGAAGGTTCCTGTCAAGGGGTTGTCAATTAGGCTCCAAGAGGCAAACTTTCCTAACAGTTTCTGTACAAAGCAGGGGTTACTGAGTAATTGTCCCTACTGTTCAGTAATTGACCCTGTTAGCAATGAAAAGCTGAGGGGAGAGGTGTGCAGAGAGTTAACAAAAAGAACCTCAATACAAAATGTCCAGGAAGCAGAAAAACTGAGAGGCACACAATGAAAAGAACATTGTTTCTTGCCTAGTGACCTTTTTTCTTTTTCCATTTGGCCAAAAAAAGAGTCATGGAATTAAAGTGTACTAGATAGATGCCAACTTTAACACATGACAAAGAGAGGCAAAACTAGGAGATTTTGCTCAGATTACAGATGTTTAGAAATATCTGTATGTCAACTGTGATGGTAGTTATTCTCTAAAGGTATACATGTTAAATGCACATAGAAAGCAACTAAGTATCTATTTCTTCATTCACACTTGGCTCATTCTTGCTTATCTTGTTACCAAGGATTTTACCTTGCACATGGTTAAGGATTCAGCAATCCACCCACTCATTCATGCAATATATATATATATATATATATATATATATATATATATAGCATTTCTTAAACACCTACTGTATTCTGGTGATGAGGATAAAGGAGTGAAGAAACAAAACCCTTCATAGAGCTTGCATTCTGGTTATTATGTTCGCTAGCTGCAACCTGGAGAATCAGTGAACATAAAATGTAGTGCTCATGACCCAAACTGGAACCAATGATCTGGGTTTGTTTGAAAGTGTGCTCTGCCACTTCTGAACTGGTTGACCCCGGGCAAGTTTCTTAACCATTAGAGGCCTCAGTTTCTTTATCAATAAAATGGGATTACAATAAGGTAATATATGTGTTTGTGTGTATATATATGTATGTATGTTAACGTAAGTGCTAAGATCAATGTTTGACACTACTAAGTATCATATAAGCGTCAGGTATTCCCGTTAAGGGAAATTGCTCTAAATTTAATGCATGGATAAACAGTCCTCAATTATAAAGGGTAGAGCCCAGAGAAATCAAGACAATAAAACTTGAAGTGCCAAATGCACCTAAATAGACAATTGATGTTTGTATTATTTGTTCAAAGAAGATTGTAGAAGGTGAGAAAGAGCATAACCCAATGGTTAAGCTAGCTACTTATATCTCTGGCCTTCAGTTTTTTCTTTTTCTTTTTTTTTTAAGATTTTATTCATTTATTTGAGAGACAGCATGAGCAGGGGGAAAGGCAGAGGGAGAAGCAGACTCCCCACCGAGCAGAGAGCCAGACCTGGGGCTCAATCCCAGGACCCCAGGATCATGACCTGAGGCAAAGGCAGACACTTAACCAACTGAAGCACCCAGGTGCCCCAGCCCTCAGTTTTTTCATCTGTAAAGAAGAGGTGATAAAAGACTTTCTTGATAGAGGTTCTATGAGGATTAAAGGAAATGATGTGTGCAAAGTGCTTGGCACAAGACCTGGCTGAGAGTAAGCAGTTACTGAACAGGGGCTATTAAAGTTGTAACCTTATTGCAATAATTGATATCATTTACTTAGTTTTTGCCAATTGCGTTTCAATTCAAAAAGGACTTGAAAAAACTTTTTCAAAGAGGACATTTCTCTCTCTCTCCCTCTTTTCTTTAGAGAGAGGGAGAGAGAGTGCAAATGAGTGGAGGGGAGGGGCAGAAGGAGAGAGAGATAGGGAGACAGAGAATCTTAAACAGGTTCCAGGCTGTGTGGAACCCAAGCGTGGCTCAATCTCACAACCCTGAGATCATGACCTGAGCTGAAATCAAGAGTCAGATGCTTAACCAACTGAGCCACCCAGGCACCCCATCAATGAGAACATTTCTAAACATCATTAAACATTGGTCTCATAGGAGAAAAATACTTCATTGCTCAGTCAAATCATGTATATTAAAGGTTAGTATTACTCCATTAAAAAAGAGATCCTTCCAGTAACTTTCCTTAGTCTGTAGATCCCAGAGTCTAGTAAGAATTTAAAGATTGTCCAACTAGTTAAATTTATAAAGTAGGATCAAATGTACATGAACCTACATAAACCTCTTGAATTGTGTCATAATATATTTAATACTCTTTATTGCCAATGTCTGTATCTGTGTTCATAAGTGAAATAGACTTTTTTAACTTTTTATATTTTCTGTTGGTAATAGGTTAATAATGGGCTTCACATAATGAGTTAAGCTTCTTTATTTATTTTTCTGTTTTCTAGAATATTTTTAAATGACAGTGTTCTCTATTCATTGAACAATTGATATCACTCCTACAAAGCCATCTAGGTCTACTGTTTGTTTTCAGTTATCATTTATCAATTCCACTTCACTAACTGCTATTTGTTTAATAAGAATTTCTTATTAAAATTGGCATTTTTCAATTTGCGCAGATATATAACCATCCGTTTCATCAGTTTTTCAAATTCATGAGCATAAAATTACTCCATATGGTCATTTCTTATTTTTTTTCTGTTGCATAATCATTCGCTATTTTTTTATATTTAAACTGAATTTCCTAAAACAATAAAATAAGTTGAATTTCCCTTTTTCTTGATTATTCTTGTGTGAGGTTTATTTTAGTATTTTTTCCAGTTTTATTGAGTTATAATTGACATATAACATTATATTAGTTTAAGGGGTACACCACAATGATTTGATATATGTGTATATTGCAAAATGATTATTACAGTAAGTTTAATTCATTCATCACCTCACATAGTTACATGTGATGTTATCAACCCTCTCAAATTTCTGTTCTGAATTTCAATGATTTCAATCCTTATCTTAATTTTTTACTTCTTATTTCTTTAGCTTTGGCCCATTGTTTTTTGTCCAGCTTGTTCAATTGGCAATTTTGTTAATTTCCCAAAAACCGTGCAAACCTGTAAATTTCCTTTAAATAAAGTACTGTTTTAGCCACATTCCACCATATCCGTCATGTAGTGCCAACAATGTCATTTAGTTCTAAACAGTTGAGATTTCTTTCATAGTCCTTTCTATTTTCTCTGTAGCTCAGGAGTTAATAGTTTCTGAACATATTTGGTAGACACTTTTTTATTTTCCTTTTGTTATTGACTGGACAGGGCTGAAGCTAAATTTGATGGTAAGTCTCAGTCATTGATTCCAATAATTCTGTTCTGGGAGTGCTCCTGGATATAATATCCAGAATCTGGATTCACGGAATCAAGGGAACTACCTAGGGAATGTCATATGCTTTAAGAAAAACTTCATAACAACAACCAAAAAATGTGATTTTTTAAATGTTCACATAAATTTAGGTAATTAAATAAAGAACAATTTCTCCCTTTTTTCTTGAAGGAAACCTCTCCTGTTTCTACACTAGCTTTTGATCAAGATTTCAAAATATTTTAATGAACATGAAATTGATAGACCACATTATTTTGGTGAAAAGAATAATGTATTTCAGAGGATCAGTAAGAATTTGATCAAAAGACAGTTTTGCAAACATATTACATATTTTATCTTTGTGTTCATATTCATAAGAAGACATGAATGTCAAAGAGGAAAAACCTTGAAGACTCTTGTATTAAAAAAAATCAAAAAGCCTTAATTCATCTTATTAGCAGGAATCTGCTATAATTTACAAGATCAGTATTGTTCTCCATGAAACATAATTCTTTTCTTTTGAGAATCCATTTATTTTTATTATACTAATGTCATTTTAATGCTGAGAAAAAACTTTTTTTTTTAAAGATTTTATTTATTTGACAGAAAGAGAGAGCACAAGTAGGCAGAGAGGCAGGCAGAGGGAGAGGGAGAAGTAGGCTCTCCGCTGAGCAAGGAGGCTGATGTGGGGCTCGATTCCAGGACCCTGGGATCATGACCTGAGCCAAAGGCAGCCTCTTCACTGACTGAGCCACCCAGGCGCCCCAGGAAAAACATTTTTTAATGCCCTGATACCACATGAGAATGTTTTTCTAACGTCACTAGAGCATTTTATTATCACAACCTAGTATTTTACTTTATCAAATTTTTGCATCAGTGTACTTTACTAAAAAACAAAACAAAACAAACAACAGATACCAAACCAAGAGCTGCCATCTTTTACAAGAGGACTATTGTGATGCATTTTTGGCAGGGAAGATGAACTTATACCAAGAAACCAAAACAAAACTTTTTTTAAAAAAAGTTTGGTTTCTACTGAATTCTATTTGAACTGCAAAGTTATATTACAATCTCAAAAATGCACTAGTAAATAATTATAATAATTACATATATAATTAATAATAGTTATATAAACTAAGGAATGTTCACAGATCTGATGTGGTTTCAAAGTATTAAAAATTTTAGTCATAGCCTTGGTGATGCTTGTCTTTGTGCCAGCTTTCTAGAAACAAATAAAAATATAACAGGTAAGGATGGCATTGAAAACAAATGTAACCAGGCTGAAAGATATGCTGGCACACTTATAACAAATTCCGACTCATTATTTATGGAGTTCAGGGGAAAGTTCCTTTCAAAAGCAGTTTCTTGGCTTAATAAAAGCTCCATTTTTCTAATGGTTTAGTAACACTAAAAAAGGAAAAAGCAACTGATTTTGTGATTAAGTGTATTTTGAGATGCATCACCTGTTAATCTCAAATTATATTTATGATTAACTTTTCATCACTACCCCTACCTACCCCTCTATTTTTCTCTTTCTGTTTCACAGAAAAAATTATGACATCAGCATCCAAAGGAATTCTCCGCCCATTTTTAATTGTCTGCATTATCCTGGGCTGCTTCATGGCATGTCTGCTCATTTACGTCAAACCCACCAACAACTGGATCTTCAGTCCAATGGAGTCGGCCAGCTCAGTGTTGAAAATGAAAAACTTCTTCTCCACCAAAACTGATTATTTTAATGAAACTACTATCCTGATTTGGGTGTGGCCATTTGGGCAGACCTTTGACCTTACATCTTGCCAAGCAATGTTCAACATCCAAGGATGCCATCTCACAACAGACCGTTCTCTATACAACAAATCTCATGCAGTTCTGATCCATCACCGAGACATCAGTTGGGATCTGACTAACTTACCACAGCAGGCTAGGCCACCCTTCCAGAAATGGATTTGGATGAATTTGGAATCACCAACTCACACGCCCCAAAAGAGTGGCATCGAACACCTGTTCAACTTGACTCTGACTTACCGCCGTGACTCAGATATCCAAGTGCCTTACGGCTTCTTGACGGTGAGCACAAACCCCTTCATGTTTGAAGTGCCAAGCAAAGAGAAGTTAGTGTGCTGGGTTGTAAGTAACTGGAACCCTGAGCATGCGAGGGTCAAGTATTACAATGAGCTAAGCAAAAGCATTGAAATCCATACCTATGGGCAAGCATTTGGAGAGTATGTGAATGATAAAAATTTGATTCCTACCATATCTACTTGCAAATTTTATCTTTCTTTTGAAAACTCAATCCACAAAGATTACATCACAGAAAAGCTCTACAATGCTTTTCTAGCTGGCTCTGTACCTGTTGTTCTGGGGCCATCTAGGGAAAATTATGAGAATTATATTCCAGCAGATTCATTCATTCATGTGGAAGATTATAACTCTCCCAGTGAGCTAGCCAAGTATCTGAAAGAAGTTGACAAAAACAATAAGTTATACCTTAGTTACTTTAACTGGAGGAAGGATTTCACGGTGAATCTTCCACGATTTTGGGAATCACATGCATGCTTGGCTTGTGATCACGTGAAAAGGCATCAAGAATATAAATCTGTTGGTAATTTAGAGAAGTGGTTTTGGAATTAAAGTTTTCCATTATTTGCACACTTGGAAAAATTATTTTGGTGAGCTATCATCCAAGTTTTGAGGATAAGAAGAGAGACAACATTCTGCTTTTGTGTCACTATTTTTATCACTCTCTCTTGGGTGACATGTATATTTTGATGGAGATTTCTGAGAGCTCAGCATTAGCAATCACTCCCTTTGGTTTTAAATTATCCTGTATATACCCAATTATGTGCACTGAAAATTAATTTATTCTTTGCTACCATTTGTAAACATTGTTTTTCACATTTTGTAGTTGTTGGTAGTGTAAGTTTGTGATATGATTGTTGTTTCTACATTGATCAGCTGTTTAAGCTATTTGGGAATGAAGATGCACATCTTAAAATATGAAATATTTTCACTAAGTATTATAATCTCTAGTTCCAAGTTTGCATAATGTAACAAAGGAAAAGCATTTGTAATTGAGTTCTAAACCTCTTTGACTTCAAAGTGAACAAAGTGTGTAACTGTCTCTATTTGATCTACTTTTTACCTGTTCACCACATTTTTTGTGAAGGGAGAATTATTCATGCAGTGAATAAGAAAGATAGTGAAGCAGAACTGTTTTATTCAGGAAGCTATTAGACTTTTCATTTATTTTCATTAAGCTGACTTGCAAATGCAGCCAGCCACTTGTTCTCACAATCTTAAGTTAAATTATTCAAGTATTTTTAAATATCCAATTTTGGGGGATTTGTAGAACCTGGAAAATAATTCTGACAACACTTAATATCTAGGATAGTTCCCTTCCCAGTCCTTACACTTATAATAAAGCAAATAATTTCCTCAAATAACAAAGGAAAAGAATGTGTATAGATACAAATCATATTTATAAGTGGTACATTTATGTACAATTTTGAATATTTTAAAATATTTTTTCCAAGCCCTGATATTTAAAAGTTTCATTTTACCATGTGGACAAATAAATAGACAAAACATTTTAGAGGTTTGCCCTGTCATTTAAAAGAACCTAAATAAAACTATCATTAAGGTGTTATATATAAGATATTAAACATAATAAAGTGAAGAGAAAACACACAATGCTAACCCAGAGTAAGATCTCAATGCACATTTATTGAATGAATAAATGAATGTCATTGAAAATCATGGGAAAATTTTTGTTTGTTTCAATAAAGTGACAGTTCTAGCATAGAAATATGAACTGGAATGATATTTTATATTTCATTTTCATAATTATTCATATATAGCACATGTGACCATGGCCCTCAGGGCTTTACAGAACCAAAATAAACTTGTCATTACACTAAGTTCTTGGAAAATTCATCCCTGAACCTGCAGTTGCAATACAGCAATTTTCCTCTATGAGGTTGAGAGCTGGATATAAGCAGAGATTAGTAGGTGAGAAAAGATGGGATGTTAAGGATTCTTCAAGAAAAGCATTTCCCAACAGAATCTTTAATGACTATTCCATTCGGGCCAAAAACCCATCAAAAGAACCAGAATGTTGTGATGACATCCTTTTGGATCCAATTGTGACTTATTCTAATAGCCCTGTTACATGTTAACATTAGCAGAATACAAGTCCACCATCTTCTGCATCAAATGGAAGTTAGATAGAGGCAAACTTGAGTTCAGTAAGTGGGAGCTATGTCCCGTACCCCAAACTGCCTTGTGTGGGAATGAGCTCTCTGGAGAACTAGAAGGATTGGAACAGAGGAAGATCCTGGCATTAGATGGAGGACTGTTTGATCCTCAGGTTCATTTCTTTAACCATGTCGAACAAGCATGTTGTGTCAGGCAATGCCCTACCCAGGGCTAAAGATGAGCAAGGTACTATCACTGCCCTACAGGAACTTACACTTAAGTGGAGAGATACACAAAAGCTTTCTTCAAGTCTATGTTTATGCATATACTCCTCTTGGTGGAGTTTATACAAGTCACTGCCGTTATAATGAAAATAAGATAGCAAATTTCCCCAATTGCTCAGGGATTTGACATATTTCTGAGCTGCAAGCTTTGTTTACTCATTTGACCCAATGTAGATTTCCTCCATATTATCTCTTCTAACCACACTGCATCAAGAAATGTTGTGTCTGTGTGGATGCCCTCCTAGATAAGGACAGATCTCACCCATGTTTATTTCATCAGGTTAAAAAAGATGACACTGACTTTGTCATCTTTTTGGCTTATAAAAAGTATAGGGTTCTAAACAGGTTGCATGGCTAACATGTTTAGAAAGCACCTGTTTTCCTCAAAAGCAGCAAAGCATTAAGTGTCTTGACAACCCATTTTGGCTGTGGTGGGTGCTCATGATTTCAAAGAACTGAGAAACCTGAGGGCATTGCCTCTCTTGTCAACTATGAATTTGGTCTCTTTTTTAGACCGACTATAATCACATGCTGATAATATGACCCAAGTCAAGGCAATAATACTAAGTCACTAACTGGCACATCTATCTATCTGGGACCCACTACCAGGCCCCAGAAGAATAATTTTTCTGAATTTGAAGTGCCAAAATGAATGTGTCAACTTACCCCATCAGTTCTGGGAGCATTTATCTGTAATTTTAGGGCTAGACAAGTATTATAGCAATGTTTACAAACCAATCCCTTTATTCTATTTATGGGTTAACGAGATCCAGAGATAATATTTATTCAAGAAACATGTTCACACACACACACACGTGCACACAAACACAAACACACACACACACACAGAGCTACTAACATAGCCAAGATTGGAATGTAAGGGTGCTGTATCTCTTAATTCTATGTTCTTTTTCATCATAGTCTTACCTAACCATGGAAGTATGTCTCAATTCCTGCCTTATTGGTCTAGTTAGGGCCTATGGAATGGTACACTCTATGTGGAAGCTCTTTGACTTTTGAAAAAGTATATAGTAAAACATCTAACTTGTTAGCATTCTTTCTGTTTTAAGTATTCTAGGAGTTGAGCTTTAGCAGAAGAAAATGAACTTTCACTACATTCTAAGTGAAAGGCAACCTTCGAAGATGGTATATGGTTCTCAGGCACCCCATTAATAAATCCCATGGATTGCAATTCTTTTAATGGATATCTCATGGTGAAAGATGTGGATTCAACAAAATCAGCTTGCTGTTGGTTATAAAAACAAATAATGATGCCAGGGGATAAAACAGAATAGGCCATTTAAAAAGTTTTATTCCAAAATATCAAAAAAACCTATTAACTTCAATGGTCTGAACATTTAAATGTTAATTATTATAGGCCTTATTAGTAAGAATATATAAATATTAATTATTATAGGTCCTCTTAGTAAGAATATATACTCAATTCTCCATATCCAGCAGTATTAAATTCTTTAAAAATGATATGACAGTCATATTACATGACAGCCATAAATTTTATAATATGAAGTGGAGACTGGAAAAAATTATCTTAGTGGGGAACCAATATCAGCTTAAAATTTTACATTTACCACATGAGTCTTGATAATCCTAGAACGTGCAGAAATGTTTTCTGTTGTGAGGGCTTAGAAAGCTCAGAGCACTTGAGGCATAAAGTGACAGAATATTCAAGAATTATTTGCTGAGGCTTTAAATTCTTGCCTCCAATTGGAGGTTAAATATGGTAAGAATAGGAAATTATATAATTGATATCTTTTTGATTGCCTATTTTCAAACTAGATTCCATGAGTCTTAAGGTAATGCCTTTGCCTTTGTCTAAAAAATGTCTTTGCATGAAGTAATGCTACCAAAACAAGGTTTAGGTCCTTACATTATAACCTTGTGTTTAACCATATCTTTGAGTTCCCTTGAACTCTGATCTCATTTAAGGGAACGTCTTAATGAATTAATCACAATCAAATTATTAAATACAAAAACTTCAGGATCTAAAAGATAAGCACAGTGCCTATCACAGAGAAGGATCTCAACAAATATTTGTTCAATGAATAAAGAAATTGCATTGGAGGTCATGCAGAATTTTATTTAAGTGTGATAACAGTTCCAGCTTATTGGTACCAGTTAGAGATTATATTTTATATTTATTTCTTTGATCGGTTTACTGATTGGATGCAAAGGAAGGCTTTATGTCCTTCCACTCTTTCTGCATCCTAACACCCCAAAAGAAGTAACATTGCAAGAAAGATTTAAAGGATTTGGAACATGTTAACCTTCTATTCAAATATGAACACCAACTGTTTCTAATAGGAAAGCCAATTAATATTTGAGGAGAATATAAAGTGCAAGCACTGTGAAGGGCACATATTTACTACCAAACTATGCATGGAGAGAGATGCAGTTTCTTTCCTCCCTAACTGCACTCCTTTGTACTGCAAACATCAGTCAATTAAGATATTTTTTTCTGGATGTCTCTCATCTAAAGATTTTGTAGCATTTTGCAAATGGGTAAGCTCAACTACGATCCAAAGTGTTCTCCCTCTCAGTAATTCATATTGAATGCATCCATATTCATAAGCATTATATAGAGCAGTTAACAGAACAAAAATGAGAAAGAGCCTGCTAAACCAGACAAAGCTAGGCTGGGTTATAGGTTCAACAAACTCATTTTGAGAAATTCAGCTAACCTCCCTGGACCTTGTTTGTAAGGCTCCTTCTGACACTGTTATGATCTAAATTGACCACATGCATGTATTTGCAAATGAAATTCCAACAACGATCTAAATTGACCATATGCGTGTATTTGCAAATGAAATTCCAACAACCATATCATTTTTTGGAGGTAAATATTTCAAACGGATTTCCCTCTTATTTCTCTGAATAAACACTTAAGGTGTAAAACTGATTATTTAAGTTAATATGTGGAAAGAACCTAATCCAGTGCTTGGAATAAAACAAGTGCTCAATTAACTGAACTTCTTCCTTTAACTCCTTCCCCTCATTCTCTGCCTCATCTTTTATAATTCATGTACTCACGATTCACTGAGACCTTAATTGCCTACAGAAAACCAACCATATAATGAGCATTATTTTAAGATACTAAAAATTTTTTTATATCATCCACATTCTTATTACAATATTTTACAACTTTTTATCAATGCAAAAATTTCAGAGGCAGTGGAGGCACAGGGCAAATTCCCAGATGACAAGGAGACAGGGAGCCTAATTTGAGTAAGCCAGATTGAATATATCCAAAAAAACTTAGTTATTCTTAACTCATAGTTACTATATATTTTTCCTTTGATCTACTTTGAAAATACTGTAAAGAATTAAAAAAAAAATCTCTCCAACGTCAGCTGTCTTTGTCAGTGTAACTGAAAATTTCAGCCTGGTTCCTGGGTCACCAGACCTGGAATCACCAGAGGTATTTATGAACAATACTGATCCCTTGACCCTGCTCAGGCAATTCTCTTCAAACAAGTCCAAAAAAAACATGCTTTTAATACATTTCCTAAGTTAGTCTGCTTCACGCTATAGTTTATAAACCATCCTGACTAAGCCAGGGGTTCTCAAACAAGTACACGTCTTTGGAACTTCCTGGGTCAGCTGCATAAGAATCATTTGAGAAAGTATTAATAATATACAGTTTCTGATTCTCTGGGTCTGAGATGGGAGCTGGAATCCGTATTTTTAAAAAATCTCCCCAGAGGGCGCCTGGGTGGCTCAGTTGGTTAAGTGACTGCCTTCGGCTCAGGTCATGATCCTGGAGTCCCGGGATCGAGTCCCGCATCGGGCTCCCTGCTCAGCAGGGAGTCTGCTTCTCCCTCTGACCCTCCCCCCTCTCATGTGCTCTCTCTCTCTCATTCTCGCTCTCTCAAATAAATAAAATCTTTAAAAAAAAAAAATCTCCCCAGATAGTTCTGATGTGTTGTCAGGTTTGAGGTCTATGTCATAGCCACCTATAAAATGGAGTGTATTCTGTTGTTCAACTGACACAAGCTAATGTCTTTAATTCACTTGGAATTGTCCTGGATATGTCAGTAAAGTGTTTCTCTACTTTAAGAACCAAGATATTCTATATGCCTAATTATTTTGTGCATGAGCATGGTACTGGCTAACTAATCCCTTGATTTGGGGCAGATTATCTACAGTCTCCAAATCTTCTTTTAAGCTGTGAGTGGTTTAGAGCAGTATTTCTCAGGCCTAGATGTACATATGGATCACCTGGAGAAGATTTAAAATTGTGGATGCCCAAACCCCATCTCCAGCGATCTGATCTTATTGGTTTGAAATGGGACCCAGAGACCAACAAAAGACACTTTAGATGATCCTAATGTAGGGCCATCTCTGGGAACCACCAGTCTACACAAAAGACCTGCTCGATTTGCGACCTTGAAAGAATTATTAGGAAAAGAAAAGCTTA